ACAATAATCATCATCTTTTGGAAGGGCAGCAAATGTGCATGTCTTTAGAAACTCATCAAAACTGTTCCTTCTCCCTTCAGTCTTTTTCAAAGAGCTTCTCAGGAACTGCCTTCAGTGAAGCTTTTTGCTGACACGCTGGAAGGTCAATCCTGCTCAGCAACTACCTGGGATTTAGGGACCATCCACACCTCCCTGAGCCTGTGACCACTTCACACCCCCAGCTCTCCCTAAAACTGGTTGGAAGCAGGGCTGCACCCCTGAACAGCAAGGACTGGGTCGAGCTGTGGAGGACAACCAACAACCGACAGAACCAGAAGCCATTAAGGAGCTGCTCTGCCTTCAAACCTTCCAGTACAGGAGTTCATCATATGCAAACTCAAACCAAGCTCCACTTACTCAAGCTGCTTAATAACAAGCAGGCAGGCAGATGTACAAACAGGAAAAACGTGTTTAAATTCTCTCAACAGTCTAGAAACTGAAATTATAAATTACGTATAACACCACAGGACTTCCCCAGCATCTCAGTGGCTTACAGAACCTGCACAAACCCCGACTCCCCAGTCTCCACGCAAGAGCAGCTGGGACAGGTTACACCTATTTGCTTTTTCCTTTTATTAGGACGTTTATGTACACACGCATACAAATCCAGCCTACAAGCAACGCTGCTGCAGGCAAACAGAGAGAACAAAAAGGTGATATAACAAAACAAGTTAGGAAGACCTAAGTTGAGAAGACCGGAGTTTGCCTTGGGAACACCTCAAGCCCATCAGGGTTAAACAGGCGGTCCCGGGCACGGGAGGCGGCACTCCGGGCTCCCCCGGCGGGGCGGTGTGAACCGGGGGAGAACGGCGGGCCCGCCGAGAGCCCAGCGAGCCCGGCAGCCGCACAGGGATCGCAGCCGGGCGTTGACCGGACGGACGCAACCGCCGCCCCCCGCTCCTCCTCCGGCCCGGCCCGCGCGGCAGCGCCGGCGGCGGGGCGGGCCCTTCCCGCGGCCGGGCACAGCCGCGGGTGCGCGGCCCGCCCCGGGCCGGGCGGACACGGCCCCAGACAGCCGGGGCACCGAGCCGAGCCCCGCCGCCGGGCCGGGCGCAGCGGGCGGGAGCGGAGCCCCCGCAGCCCTGCCCTGCCCTGCCCTGTCCGGCCGGGCCGGCGCGGCCCGTCCCGCACTCACCTGCGTGTCGCCGCATCGCTCCGCCCCGACCCCGGAACCACGTAGCGGCTTCCCGGGCGGGCCCGGCGCCGGGCGATGGGCGCTGCCCGCCCGCCCGGGGGAGCCGCGGCTGCTCCGCACGCGCCGGACCCACCTCGAGCGCGGGGAACAGCACGGACGGGCGGCGGCTGCAGCGCCCAGAGCAGCTGCGGGCGAGGCCTCTGCTCAGCTCGGCCGGGAAGGGCTGAGCTGCCGGCGGGTGCAGAGCAGCGGCACCGAGAACAACCCTCCCCTGCAGCACACGGGGAGGAGGAACAACTGCTCGCCGACAGCACACGGGGCTCCAGCAACAACTGCTCCCCTGCAGCTCCTCGGCCCGAGGAACAACCGCTGCAGCACACGGGCCCCCTCGGGTTACACTTTTCCCAAGCCCCAGGTGATGTGGAGACTACACTAAGGATGCAGGCACACACGAAGGTGTAAAATAGCTTTTTATTTCTTCCATTGGGCCAACTGTGACACAAACAGACAGGTGGTGGCTGCTGTTAGTCAAAGAGACCGAATCCCATGTCCTCATCAGACTCCTCCGACTCCTCCTTCGCTGCCTCCTTTGCTGGAGCAGCAGCAGCAGCAGCAGCAGGTGCAGCTGCTTCAGTGACCACAGGCATGGCTGCCACAAAGGCAGAGGGGTCTGCCAGGAAGGCCTTCACCTGCAAAGGAGCCGGAAAAAAAGGTAAACTCACAGGAAACAAAACATTTTGAAGGGCTGAACCTTTGCAATTGCAAAGGCAGCACTTGCAGCTTGCTAGAAGCCAAATGTGCATTTATCACTGCCAGTTATGAAGAACCAAAGGCACTTCAGCTACACTGAAGCCATTACCTTTTCAGCCAGTGGGAAGGTGTAGTCGGTCTCCACAGCCACGGCCAGGACACGCTTGTACCCGTTGATGATGGAGTGGGGCACAGAAGCAATGGTTGGGTACCCAATTTGCAGACAGATGCTGGCAACATTACGAACACCCTGTGGAGAGAGAGACACTCATGTTTCTGTGCTCTGAGGAACAACCTGGACTAGAAACCACAGCAGAGGATGGCCAAGTGATGACTTCTACACTGCCAACAGGAGGGACAATCAAGGCATCAAGATTTAAATGTCACTGATCTCTGCTCTCTGGTGATCAGTGACAGAACCCAAGAATGACAAGGAGCTGTGTCAGGGGAGGTTTAAGTCCGATACTAAGAAAAGATTCTCTCCGGAGAGGGTGGTTGGGCACTGAACAGGCTCCCCAGGGACGGGGTCACAGCCCCAAACCTGCCAGAGCTCAAGGAGCATTTGGACAATGCTCTCAAGCACAAGGTGGTATTGCTGGGGTGTCCTGTGCTGGGCCAGGAGTTGGACTTAACAATTCTTGTGGGTTTCCTTCCAACTCAGGATTTCCTAAGATTCCAAACAGCCTCACTTTTTGAAGCAGCTTCAGATGAACAGTCCCACATACAGGGCACCAGGGAGAGCTCCTGGCTCTGCAGGACCTTACAGAAAATACCACACAGGGCCTTTCACTCTGGGGCAGTGCTGGCTCCCACAGCAGCAGGGCAGAGCACGAGGGACATGGGCTATGGTGCTCACCTCCAGGAAGCGCTTGTGCAAGGTCTCCTCAGTGATGTCCAGCACTTCAGGGTTGTAAATGCTGCCATTGTCAAAGACCTGCTGGATCACCAACCCGAAGGAGAACGGGGAGATATTCAGCATGTTGAGCAGGGTGGCTTCACTGGCACCCACTTTGTCTCCAGTCTTGATGAGCTGCACGTCACTCTGAGGAGATCGGGGGAAAAGCAGTGAATACACACAAAGAAATTCCAGCACATCAGTTCAAGGGGACACAGACACAAATGGTGAAAATGGAGCAAATAAACCCAACACATACACTCCACAAGCCGAGCCAGACACCCTCCTTCCAATCCCCAAAGTGCAGCAGTCACACTGCTCATACAGTATCTAAGAATTAATGGGAGCTTTGGTCTTCAGAGTTCCCTGAGCTGCCACAGTCAGAGCCCCCAGTGAAGGAACAGCTTTGACAACTGCAGCACGCAGCTCACTGACCAGAATTTCAATGGTCCCTCTGGAAATCTTCGTGGTGATGCCCAAGGCCTGGAAAAAGGAGGTCTTCTCTGGCCCAAGGCCCGTGTTCTGGGCTGGCACAGTCACATCACAAGGAGCAATAGCACCGGCACGGGCAGCAGCTGGCACCTGAGAGAGGGGAGAAGAGAAGCTGCAAGAATGCTCACCTCAGATCTTGTGGGATCATCTCCTTGCTGACACATTCCTCCCAGATGGACAGCACCCAAGCACACACCAGTGACACAGCTGAACTCAAGCAGTTTGTGTAAGGCTGCAGGGGCCAATTCCCAGCCCTTCAGGACTCCTACTAATGACGTATCCTCCATGAAGACTCGGTTTTATTTTTCATTCCATAATAACAGCCCAGAGATGTGGTGAGGGCTGGTCTCCCTACCTTGTTAGCCAGCAGCATGTCCCGGATCTCGGTCAGATCCTCCTTAGTGAAGACAAAGCCCACATTCCCACGGATGTGAGGCAGCAGCCTGAAGGGAAGACAGCCTTCAGTTCTGTTTCTCAGACAACATCCCCTCCTCCCAGACAGAGCACCCAGAAGTGCCCTCAGGCAGCAGTACCCACTTTTCTAGGGCAGGGTTGTTCTCCAGATGACCACGAATAGCTTTGCGCATCATCGTGTTCTTCCCCATCAGCACAACAGCCTTCCCACGCAGGGACATGCGGATCTGCTGCATCTGCTTGGATCCCACATTGTCTGCTCCCACAATGAAACATTTTGGGTAATCATCCAGGAGTTGCTGTAACAAAAAGAACACTGTAACTATACAAAGACAGCCAGACAGAGCAGAGTGCTCAGAGCACAGAGCAGCATTAAAACCTCCACACGTTAAAACGTACAAAAAGGCTGTCAGAAGTTTCAGAGTGCTGAGCTCCAGCTGAGGCTGAGCGTGCCACAGGCTGCACGTTTCACTCAGCCATCGAGTCACATCCCTGAACATGTCACCTCTGCAACTACCGCAGCAGATTCTCACAGAAAAAACTGTGGATTGTCTTAATATCTTTCTAATGCTACGTAATCCTTCCTTTACACCACAGCACTTATCTCTTTAAACAAGCCCCCGCAGCACGGCCCGCCCGCCTCCCGCTGGCCCGCGCCGACACTCACGATGATTTTCATAAAATAGTTGGACTTCCACGTAGCCCTGTCTTCCCTGGGCATCTCGGCGGTGCTCCAAGGATCGCCCGGTGGGTTTAAAGACGAGCTGGGACCTGCCAGAGAGAAGCACGGTCAGGTGGGTCCGCACCCTTCCCTCTCCTTTCCTCCTCCCCCCAGTCCGGCCGCGGCCCAGGACCCCGAGTACACTCCGGGTACACCCGGGGTACGCTCCGGGTCGCGGCTCCCCCCCGTCCCGCGCGCCAGCCCCGCCCGTGCCCCGCGAGCCGCCGCGCCGCGCCCGCACCTCCACGAGGGTCCGGGAAAAGAAGGGCCGGAGGCGGGCCCGCCTCCTTTTATACCCGCGGCTCAAGTCCAAATCACAGCAGCCGCGGCGCGCTCGCCTCCCCTCCGCCCATTGGGCCCGCCTGTCAATCACCCGAGAGGCGCGTGACGCCAGCGGAAACGGCGCGGCGCCGCGCGCGGCTGGGCGGATCCGGCGCCCCCTGGCGGCGGGAGGGAGCGCCACCGCCCCCCCCCTCAGCCCCGCCCGGAGGGGGAACCGCTCCGGGTCTGATCCCTCCCCAGCTCAGGGGCTGGAAACAATCGCGACACAGTCGTGAGAATAACGGTAAAAACTTTATTGGCGTAACTGCAAGAATTTTAAATGGAAAAAAAAAAGCGGAGTTAGAAGTTTACATGGGAGGGGGAAAAAAAATCAAATAATTGTCGACCCAGCCAAGCTTCCCCCAGCCCAGCCCGGACGTGGTGAGAAAGACCTTCCCCAGGGGTAGCGCCCGGTCCGGGGGTGCACACACAGACCCTCCCGGAGCACCTGTCACAGCCCCTGTCAGCTCCTCTCCAGGGCCGGGGACCCCCCAGCACCATCCCCAGCCCCACACCCGGCTGTGCCACCCTAGAACTGCACCTGCAATGAACTACACAGGCATTTGGGACACCACAAGTCGTTATTTGGCAGAGTAGCATCGGTGCAGCATCCCAGCGTGTCAGGCACCAGATGAAGGCAGGAGGTAAATGTGTAATGATCTCAGTTAAGCACTAAGGACACCGAGCCTCCCCTCGGCCCCCAGCAGCCCTCACAGCACCCAGGGCCTTCCACATGTGCCAGGAGTGTCACTGGCACAACCCTCAACTAGCAGTGAGTGAGGTAGGTTAAAGACTCCCCGCACAGGGAAACTGAGGCACGCGATTACACCGTTTGCAGATGTCATGCCATTTGCAGTGGCAGTGCCAGAAACATCTCACCCCTTTCTGACACTCGGACACAACAGCTGTGTGTCCTCTCAGCGGCACCAAGGATTGACCTTTTCAGTGAGATAAACACACACAGCTTAGGAACACCCATTTAAGTTAAATCGACTTCACAGATGAAAAGGCAAATGCATAAGGATTCTTGCCTCATGAACTCTCCCAGAGCTACACTCAGCCCAGCTGACACAGCTCCAGTGCTCCCACAGTTCCCTTCGGCCTCACACCCACACACTGAGTTCATTTGTAGGGGAAATGAGTGAAACAGTTTCAGTGATCCAAGCAGGGCAGGGCAGCACCGCGACAAGGTTGTGTGACAGGGACCTGCAGTTTCCAGCCCAAGGCTGGGCTGGTTTCTGACACAGCCACCCCTGGGCCCCTAATGCACCTGCCAAGCTGCAAAACACACCCAGATGCCTCTGGTGACAGTGCTGTAGCACTCTGGAGCAGTAACTGAAACACTGCTCCCTGGGCTGCCTTGGCTGGTACCACAGAACGGCACCGGGAATTTCAGTGCAGTCCTTCCCTCTCCGTAGCACCCTCCATCCAGCCAGAGACCTAAAAGTGCTTTAGCAAACACGAGCTAAGCCTCCCAATAACCTCACAAATCCAGGCTAAACTGCCCCCATTTTACAGATGGGGAAACTGAGGCACAGTAAGGTTTAGTGACTGGCCCAAAGTTACACAGCTAGTCAGGAACAGTCTGTCTCTCCCACTTTCTCCTCCTCAGTCACAAGACCTTTTTTCCTCAATTTACCCTGCTCTGATTTCAGGTGGCTGAAGAGGAGAAACAGAGGGCAAAGGTCTGAGCTCCTCCCCCAAAGCATCACATTAAGACTTAAACATCCTGGAAGCTGGGCTTTGGGAGAAAGGCAGGTGATTCAAATACAGCAGTTTACAGGTTACAATAAAACCAGAAAACACACTTTTAGGTGACCCAGAGGAGGGGAAAAAAAAAAAGCTATTCACAGTTCACCTGCCTGTGCTAGGGAAAAAATACAAGTCACATTCCCTTCCCCATAGATTCCAGCCCCTCCCAACCCGCAATAAAAAGGAAATATTGAATGTTAGTTCGGCTTAACAAAGCATTGAGGTTATAGATGCAGTAAGCCAGCACAACTGGCACACTGCCTAGAACAGCACAGCTTGATATAAAAGTTGCTTTCTTAAAATCACTTCAAAACCAATTTCTGTATAAGAGGATTAAAAGTAAATTAGATATGAATTCAAAATCAGTGTAGAAATCTACAGTTCTTATCAAAGACTGGATACAGTATTCACTTTGATAGTAAAACTCCAGGTGTGTCACGCACACCTGACCCACGGGACTTGTTATACCAGTAACAGTCAATATAAAAGGTTATTGCTGTAGCATCTCTCAGTAGAACATGTTTAACAAGAGCACAGAAAATGGAAACACCAAGGGGCTGACAGGTCTCATTAGCAAAGAGGAAGAAAGGATATAAATTTAGGATTTTTTTTTTTCTCCCGGCTTCTTAACCCTCTCCACTTTTCCCCACTCTTGTGACAGTTTCAGGCCCTGACAGATGGGAGATTTTCAGGCCAGATAAACACACACACATCACACTCATTCATAACAGGGATGGATGAAAAAGGCTGCTCTGACCTCTCTGCACCTGCATTTAAAGAAGGGATGATGCCTCTTCCTCTCTCCCAGGAGCAGCAGGTGAGGGGAGCAGATGCCCTGAGCTGGCCTGGATGGAGATGCCTGGCATGGGATGTTCCCACAAGGAGCACACATCAGTGCTGAGGGATGGTCAGGGCTTACCCCACCTTCTGCTCTGGTGTGCTGAGAAAAGGCATTGAGAAAGGGCATAACAAACTAGGAGGGGAAAACCCCCACCCCACACATTAACATCTTGATTCCTCTTAATTAAAAAAAAAAAAAGTAAGTGGTATTATCTCCCTACAGTGTAATGGAACTGGAGAGACCCTTGCAGGGTCTTGGCTGCCTGTGCTGGTGCTCTGGTCTCAGCAAGTCACACACATGGTGTGGCTCTGTGAGGGGAGCCAGGGTGGCCCTGAGGTTACAGGGTGCCCTTGCTGGGCTGTCGCTCACCCTGCACACGTGCAGGCAAAAGCCTGAGAAGGAGGTGTCAAAGCAGAGGGCTGTGTTGTCTGCAAGTGTCTCGATTTGCTCAGGGAGCTGACACGGGCTGAAACGTACTGGCAAAGACTCCTGCTGCCAGGAGGGGGGTGGGAAGATCTCCCTGTTGGAGCCCTCGAGCTAAGCTCAGCTGTCAGTCACACACACAGACACACACACCGTCATGAGGGATCTCGGCCTCTCTCTACTGAGACACAGCAAGGGCGTTTCCAGTTTAATGGTCCGTCTCATCTCTGGATCTACTGCCTCTCCATAGCAGCAGAAAGCACTCCCCACCCCCCACCCCCCTCCTCCCCTGCCTGGTAAGATTCCTAAATCACAGTAATGTTCAGAGAGCCAGAACTGCCGAGGGGGTGGCAGAAAGATGCTTTAGCGCCCATCGATGGTGCCTCTAACAGAAGAGCTTGAGGAAGCAGTTCTGGCAGTAGGGCTTGTCGTTCTGCTCTTTGAAGGTTCCTTTGTTGAGCTGCTTGAGGCAGAAGGCACAGACAAAGTGTTCAGGGTGAAATTTCTTGCCCATGGCAGTGATGCAGCGTCCTGTGATGGGCTTCTGGCACCCGGAGCAGAGGGAGCCGCGGCGCTCGTGGTAGTGCACCTCGCAGTAGGGCTGCCCGTCGTGCTCAAAGAAGCTGCCATTGATGAACGGGGTGAAACATTCCTGCAGGAGGACAAAGCAGAGGGGACAGGTTGTGTGAGAAGCCAGGGATGTGGGGAGGGGCAGCTCCACAAGCCACCTCTGTGGCACAGCCCAGCTGTTCTGCGGGCAGGTGAACTGCTGCCCTTCACTACTGTCCTGTTGTCCAGAGCCAAACTCTGTCCACCAAGAAGAGTTTCCAAGAAAAGGCTGAGAGATAGACAGATACAGGCACAAGCAAAGGAATTAACCAGCTCCTTCCCCCAGCTAGCTTCACTTCTACAAAGAAAATACTATGGATGAGCTACCAGATGTGTCCAGCCAGGAGAAAGGAGAACACTCCTTCCTCTGAGGTGGGAAACACTGAAGCACCTTTCCCTGTTCGGTTTTTTCTCACTCCAGCTTCCCCACAAGGGCAGGCAGAAGGAGGGACCAACACAGACTTTCATGCAGCAGAATCCTGATGAATACTGGACTGGTTCCAGCTGAGAAAATGAGGCACAATTAATCTTCACAAGTGACCTCTCCACAATGGCTGGCATTAGGCTGGTACACTCTGCAAAGGATTGTCCAACCTGAAACATCTCCAGCAGTTACACACGGATCACTGCTGGGAGAAACTGTTTGTTCTACAGGGCTAATGATTTTGAACAGACAAGGAGAAGAGGATACACCAGCTACATGCTAATTAGTGTCCAGAGCTCCTCCTCCCCCTTGGTGTCAGGCAGCTGAGGACTCTACACTTTAGAACCTGCAACAGAAGCACCCACCACCCCCACCAGACTGGGGAGACCCCCCAGTGGTGGTCTTGTATGAGTGGGAAACTCCTTGTATGCGTGGGAAACTGAAGCAGCAGAGTGTGGGAGAGTCGAGGACGCTGCCAGATTTGCCAAATACATCAGCAGCAAGGCTTGAGGAGGAGCCATGTTTGCAGAATCCTGGTTTTGCTGTCCCCTTCCCCGGGGAGGACACTGACTATCACACACAGCTGGACCCCAACACGTGGAAAGGGATCCAGCAAACAGCAGGCAGAGCTGTTAAACACTCACAATACCAGGATGAATACAGTTTGCCTGCAGCGAGTCCAAGACTTTACTAATGCTGACAGTTCAATAAACAGTGTCTTCCCTCAGTCAGCAGGACAGCTGAAAAGTTTGCTCTGATTTAGCAAAAACAGGAAGAGAATCACATCTTGTGTCCTGGAAGACATCCATGTTGGCCCCACTAATTCAGGCAGTGTGGCAGCAGGGGGAAAGGAAAGCACAACTGCTTGATAAAGTCTCAATCTCTGCACAAGAAGGCACAGCCCTCCCCAGCCCCACAGAGTCAGGCACAGCTTCTGCCTCCACTCTCTGCACACCACTGCAGGAGCCACAGACAGTCCCAACAGCACGGACACAGTCAGATCTGAGCATCACACCAGGAATCAGCAGCTTGTGGTTCTGGCTGCTTCATCTGGTTTCTGCCCTTCTCTCCCACTCTAGGAAGCACTGGTTGATTTGGCTCATCTCTTGGGGCCTTTAAGAGTTAATATTTGCAATGCTCTCTGAAAGAGTGCCAAGCATTTAATCTGCAGTATTCCTGTTTCTTATGCCTGTTGTATGGAGCCTGCCACTATTTCACTGACTTGCACGTTTGTCTGAACAAGGTCAGCCTCGTTAGTTTACATTGTCAGATGGAGCATGGGAGGAAGATCCTCAAAATCTGAGTGCTGAGGCAAGTGCTCAGAGAGAAGCTTAGCTTATAATTTTTTAAAGGTCACAGAAAATGTCTCTGTTTATCTGTGAGCTGCTGCAGAAGCCCATAATTGCAGTTGGGAACAGAAAGGCAGCTTGAAAGTTCAACATAAACAGGCAGAGGAACAAGAAGGTGTTTGGTTGCTGACATGTTTTTATCTTGTGGGACTGGCTGCCCTTCACTGCCCCAGAGACGCCTTTTCCCGATATGGGACCAGATGCCTGCAGGGAGGAAAAGAGAGGGGTCGTGCAAAGGACCTTGGGTTTCTTACCCGACAGACAAAGCACTCGGGGTGCCACAGGGTGTTCAAGGCAGAGATGTAGTTTTCCAGGATAGCCCGGGCACAGCCTCCACACTTGGGAGCAAACATGTCAAAGTAGTCCTTGCGGCAATAGGCTTTGCCATCCTTCTCATGAAATCCTGCCAAAGGAGAGGAGAGGCAAAGGGATCAGCTCCTGATCTTCACCTATGGCCAGACAAGCTGTGTGGGATAACCTGTGTGGGTGGGATCATCCCTCCCCCTGCTAACACACACAGCAGGGTCCTTGTTCTGTTCCCTTCCCATCCCAGCACATGCATGCTCTTCCTCTCTGGGGAGAAGAGATGATTACTGGTAGCATTCTTCCCCCACAAACAGCTGTAGCCCTTGGAACTCCAGTAGTTCCCCTGTCCCCTCAGACTGTCCCCCAGCAGCAGCTCTGCCTTACACCCTTCTCTGTATTTTAGGGAGGAGATTGTTCTCTCCTTGCATAAATCAGCAGTACCTTCAGGTCCAAAGAAAGCTCCACACTGGGCACAGAAAAAGTGTTCAGGGTGCCATGTCCTGTCCAAAGCCGTCACCACTTTCTGTTCAGGAGAAGACACAAAGTGCAAGTCACTTAACTGATGGTTTCAACTTGGAGGTGAGTAAGGGGGGGCTGGAGGGAGGGGAGAAGACATTAATGTTGGTGCTGACAAGAGCAAGCATTAAAATAGACTGTCCTTTAGAGAGCTGAGTCAATTCGCCCCTGCCTCTGGCTCGTTCAGGCTCTCCCCACTGCACACTTTTTTTACCCTAAAAGGATCTTAGGCACTGCCTCCTCCCTTACACAGGGCCCCGTCCAGCCCTCAGGACTAGCACTGGTGCCTGTTACCACAGGCTACCAACACACAAATGCTGAGGAATCAGAATGATGGAGCAATGTGGGATTCTGAAGGAACTTCACAAAAGGTAAGAGGGACTATCTCCTCTCACTGGTGTAAGAATTTGACTGGGCCAAGTTGTTTCCCTTTCAGAGCAAGGACAAAGGAAACATGGAAATCCCAAAACAAAAATCTTCCACCCAGGACACATGGGTGGAGTTTTTAACACCCAGGCCCTGCAGCACCTTGCCAGCACCCTGAATCCCCCCCCAAGGAACTCACATCAAGGATGGGCCCGTTGCAGTAGTAGCAGCGAGGGGAGAAGAGGTTGTGGTAGTCCTTCTCGCAGTAGGGCTGCCCATCCCGCTCAAAGAAGTTCCGCGACCCGATCTCCTCCTGGCAGTGGGTGCAGACGAAGTGCTCAGGGTGCCAGGTTTTCCCCATGGCTGTAACTACCTGTTGGGAAGACAAATCATGAAGAACAACTCTACCTCCCTCTCCCCTAGACCACATGACAAGCTACCAGCTGGAGATCAGCAAGAATGACAAGTTCTACTACTCAAGTGAGCCCTGGACTGGGGTAGCATGAAAACTGAATTACCTATCATCTCAGGAGAGGGCAGTCCCTCAGGGGCAGGGTAGAGGTCACTGGAGGAGCTTACAGCGTACCTAGCCAGTGGATAAATAGAGTACTTCAGTTTCTCCAGCATCTCCAGTCTCTTCAGCCTCACGAAACAGCCCTCCCATTACTCCCAGCTGCAGCCCAAGGTTCAGCAATGAGACAGCACCTTCCACTCACCTGCCCAGCAATCGGCTTCTTGCAGGCTCCACAGACACCTTTGGCAACTGTAGCTACACCCAGTTTGTTCAGGTCGGACTGGAGACTTCCCAGCATGGTGTCCAGCTGACTGCCAGGCTTGGAGGCTGTGGATGGAGGGGAGCTGCTCCCGGCTTTCCCCTGTGCCATGAACTGCAGGAAAGAGAAAACAAAAGACTGTCAGTTCTGCTGTGCTTTACCAGATAAATGCCTGCTGTTGCTGCCAGTGGCCCCTCTGCAGAGACACACAGGGGGTTTCCAGGAGTCAGGTCTCTGAAGACTGAGGGCCAGAATAAAGTACACACATGTATTCTGCCCATGCAGAGACATGCAGAGACCCTGGGATGTGTAACAGCAGAGCTGTGCACAGAGGATTTGATTTTCCTTCACTGCACATACAGCAGAAGTCCCCAGCACATCCCAGGCAGTCAGTACAGTGCTCTCTAAGCCTCTGCCAAAAGTCTCCCTTTACCTCATCAGTTCCTGGCCAGCTGACAAAGCAGACGCCATCCAGAGGGCCCCTTCCCCTTGACCTCTCTCCATTTCTATGCTGCTGCTGTCAGTTCTGTCTCCTCTCTGACAGAGATGCTCTCCTCTTCCTCATCTCACTCCCCTTTCAGCTAGAAAATCTTCCCCCTTCTCCCCACCTTCTGCATATCTGTTTGTCAAGTCCCCTTGGCCCCTCAGGTTGCTCTCATCCCGTGCCTGAGCCAAGCAAGTGGAAGGAGGAAGGAAACAACTGCCTTGCAGTTGCCTGCTGTTTACCTACAGAGAGGGCAGTGCATCCCCAGCAGACAGGGCTGCCACATCTACTGTCAGACCTGGAAATGCACCAGGTGGAGGGAAGGGGAGTCAGATATTTGTCTCAGAGGCCTTTTCTGAAACTCACACCACCACAGCACACACAGCTTGGAAAGGCTTCCCAGAGGTGAGGGAGAAATGTTTTACTGAGGCTCACAACTTATAAACAAAGCATATGTTCTCCTTGGCCACCACAGCACCCTTTGCAGACAAACCACTATAAGGAAAGAGAGATTATTTTAGCTGACTTTGCACTGCCACAGTTACTGTCAGGTTTAGAGACACCCAAAGAAGTCCCTCCCTGAGATGCTCGTCTGGAGCACATCTTCTTTTACTAAGAGAATAAATTAAAACAGACATAAAATCTACACTTGTGTACAACCCACCAGTGTGCTGCCAGCACAGCCAGAGGAGCAGGGACATACTGAAGTGCTCAGAGATGTAGTGGAATGTGCCCTTCCAGCCACAGGAGGAGCTCTGTTCCCTGTCCTGCAGCTGCTTGTCCTTGCAGTCGATTAGTTTACTCAGTGACAAATCCTGCTTTCTGCTCCTTTGTATAAAAATTCTCATGACATACATAAATTCAGCTTTTTTTACACACACATTCACACACTCCTCAGCCTTGCCTCGCATGCAGCAATGACTCCCAACGGAGCCTGACACACAGCTTTTCCCCTCCTCTCTCCTCCCAGCCATTCCATAACTTGCAACCTCTCCTAGTCCAGCGGCACAGAGCAGCCCCATCACACCCCAATGTCCTGAGCCTAAAACAAACCTTCCTCCACAGAGCAGACAATTGCTACCAAACTGTTACAGTGACAGTCCAAAGCACAGCACTGCAAGGAGACAACAGGCCTTTGGAGACAAAGACCAACCAGAGCCCCAGGATAAAGCCAGAGCTTCCTGCACAGCACAGCAGAAGGAAAAGGAGGATTGAGAGGATCGTACCTCTTCTCACTCTAAACAGGGGTTTGTAGCCACCAGGCAGGGCAGGAACACATGCCACACACAGGTGATAAATTCCATCCAAACAGAAAGGAGATGAGATGAATTCAACATGTAGCAACAGAGCACTTCACCCTTGACCTCAGGAACCACACACTCCTGCCAGCCACAGCTGACCCAGTGCAGGCACAACCACCTGTGCACACCTCAATGTCTACCTGGTCTGGTGACCCAGCCTCCTTGACAGCTCACAGAGGAGCCCCCACCTGAAGGAGGTTTGTTTCCACCTCCTGCAGTTTACAGGGGACACTCAGCACAGCATCCACATAAATTCATCATGCAAAGGCCCTTCAAATTCCCACCCTTCACCCATGAGATCTGCCATCATTCAAGTTCAGTGAGGAGCTCTATGAGCAGCAAACCATGCACTACAGGATATTATCCACGTTAATGCACTGGGAGCTCCGGGAGCAGATCCCAGCACACATTGACCAGAAAAGCACACCATGCTGAGGAAACAAAAGGAGGTCCTGCCTTGCCAGGGGTGGGGGGGCCCAGGGGTGCAGGAGCAGCCAGCAGATTGGCACTGGGGACAAGGGGAGGAGCAGAGGTCACCTGGAAAGTACAACAGTTCAAGATGCAGAAGGGTTTCCTTTCCTTGCTCGTTGCTTGAGAAAGCTGCCTGTACACTAACACTGCACTGCTTGTATACATTAAAACTCCCCCCCCACCACAGAGCCACAGCCCTTCCCTGACAGGAGATGCAGAACACAGATCTTAATCATGCCATCTCCTCCCCACATCCACTCACACTGTGGACACCTGTCTAAACAGGCAAACACAGGAAGGACTGTTGATCTGCTCCTTCCAGTATGGAGATTTTGCCATCTTTTACTCTCCCCACTTCAAGAGAGATTATGGCAGGGAGAGCTGCAGGTTGTGTTTCAGAGTTACCTTCTTAATCTCAGAGGGAAATGGAGTCTCTGCTGCACAAAGTGACTGTCAGGACAGACATGACCCACACACCCCAGCAGCTTATTGCACGCATGTACTTTGCAATGCTACAGCTGGGCTTGTCCATAAATCCTCTCTTCTAGCCAGCAGTTCATACCAGCCCTTACCTGAACACTGTATCTACTGAGCTATCAAGTTACAAGCAGTAGTTGGATTGGAAAACAGTGCTAAAAACACAAACCAGGGGAGAGAAGCCTGTTTGCATTTCTGGGAAGAAAGCTTCATCTTCAGTCTGACAGCCAACAGAAACAACTGTCTTGCTGCTTGGGGTCCAGGTCTGGGGAGAACAGGAATGCCTGGGATCCTCAGAAGGAGGGGTGCCCACAACAGAAACCTCATGATAATCATCATCAGAACTTCCCCACTGGAAGAGAGGCTGGGGAGCCAAGCTGAAGGAAGAGGAAGACACTGGACTAGGAGCCGGGGTAGATGGCACATGGGAAGGCTGAGGTGGAAGTGGGAGGAGAGGTCCAGGGCCAGAGACATGAGAGGGAGCAGCATTAGCAGGGACTGTCTTTGCAGCTTCTTTGGAAGGCTGGAGCTGGGAAGAGGCTGAAACAGAGACTGTCCTCCTTGGGAGGAGTGGGGATTCTGGAGGAAAAACCACCTAGAAAGACACGGAGGAAGAAGAAAGGTGAATAAATCCAAAGAGGAACCAACAAGGAATTGGTTGTTATCAGTATGTTTATCTAAGGGAGAAAGCAGCAAGAAAAGAAAAGAGGATTAGAAAATGTGGTGTGTAGCTCAAGGAAGAGCATCATCTTACCCCCAAAATGTCCTGCACAGGTACAGCACTGAGCAAAAAAAAAACCCCCCCTCTATGACAGGCTTCCCAGTGTGGATTTAAAAATAATCCCCACAGAGACATTCGGCATGTGATAGCAGCAGGCTGCATAAACAGATACTATCACCAGCTCCCTCAGATCCCACTCTAATTCTTAAACACCCAGAACTAGAACCACATGCTGCTTTCCTTCTCAGGCCAGAGAAGGGTGAACAGAAAGACTTAGTCCTTCATTTCAAGTGGCTTAGGACACTCAAACTTAATCTGCACCACCACACAATGCTATCTGGGCAGAGGGACATGCTGGGATTTCCCAGCACACGTCCCCGCTGTCTACCTTCTCTACTTGCTGTCCACCACTCTGCTCTTCCCCCCGGGGTCTGGCAGTGACAATGACCCCCTCTGTCAGCCAGGCATCCTGGCTCTGCCATTCCTCCTGTTCCTGCTCAGCGATGCCCAGTCTGTCCTGCAGCTCTTCAATCAAGCGATCTTGGGACTCAGTCTTGTGGAATATGGCAGGACCTAGCTTACGCCTTGGAGAGAGGTCCCGAGACATTGGATGCACATTCGCAGTCTCTTTCGTCCTCTTGATTAAAGATTTAATCTAAATGACAAAGGTGAAAGTATCAGCAGAGAAGAGCAATGTCACAGCAAGCCCCAAGATGCAACAGCACAAACTCAAAGACATCAGTGACAATTGTGAGCAGGAAGAGTGATGACATTTATTCCACAATGCCAAAATTCCTCTTGGCACAGCCCAGAACAGTGACTCAGTGCAAGGAAAAACCCTGTAAGGATAATCACAGCGGCCAAAAATAACTGTCTAGAAAAGGAAGGGAAAGATTAACCAGAGGGAAGCCAAGATAGGAGGTGCAGCATGACCACTCCACTGAGCATTACAGAAACCTCAGCATCACAAGGGCACAGAGCAGGCTCTTTGTGTTTGCCCTTGACAGGCACAAGGCTCTTGGTGAACAAAGTGTGCTTCCAGCACGGGAAGAAACACCAACAGCTCCAGTAATGGGACCTAAAAAGGCCAGCAGAGGAGTTGCCATCCCAATCAGGAACATCCTCCAGTGCCATGAAACAGCCCTCGCTACTTTTCAGAGGTCTGCAAGGACTGAACTAGGGAATAAGAGTCCATTTCATGAGGAAACCCCTACAGACTGCTGTGTTCTGTGCTGCTGAGTGACATGCAGGAGAGAGCACAAGACAAAGCCGAGGGTTCCAAAGCTCCATGCCATGCAGCTGCAGTGACCCTGCTCAGAGCTCCGTGCTGTTAGTGTGGGTGAGCCCGGGCACACTCGCTCCACACACACAGTGTTAGTGTGCTGGCAGAACAGTCCTAGCTAGGACTTGTCCTACTCCTACATTCACTCAGTGCCTGCCTGGCCTGATGCAGAAATCCTCTCAATGGGTGGTTTGGAGACACATGGTAGATCCCATTCAGCTTTCCCAAAGTTTTCAGGAGATTCCGGAGTGGCTGCAGAGCTTTTGAACTGCTCCTGGTCTCCTCTGGCTTTGTTCATGTTAGCAGTACCTGCCTTCCTAGGAGTTCTGTCCCTGCCCTGCCTCTTCTTGCCCAGATCAGGACCATTATCTACCTTGGTTTCACGAGGCACTTCAGCTTTTACCTCCTGTCCTTGCTCCACTACAAAGCCCAACTGGTTTTTAGTGTCTGGGAAGACATCCCACCGATCCAGGGCAACAACAGAGGGTTCATAAACAGAATCCAAAACGCTGTCATTCTTTGCATGTATCTCTGGTGCATGTGCAGGCAGCTCCAGGGCCCACAGCTCATCTAAAGCTGTTTCCACACTTCTGCCCAGGGAGGAAAGGGCTGACTTGTCCATCAATGTTCCCTGCTGATCCAGCTCTTTGGGTACCTGCCCCTTCCCCTGACCATTTGAAGCATTTGAAATGGATATACTTGAGATTTTCGGGTCAGTTCTCTGCTCCTTCTTCTCAGTCTCTTTTGCCAAATCATAGTCCAGGCCTCGTGCCTCCACATCAGCAGGTCTACAGAGAAGCTCCACACTGGAAGCTGGCAGAGCCTGGGATGAGTTTCTAGAAAAGTCAGGCTTTCTGCTCAGCTGAGCCAAGCTTGCAGAGGTCACCTGCTCCCCACGAGTAGCACAACCAGAAGAGCTGCGTGGTGGGGGCACAGGGACTGCTTGTGTCAAACGGGGCACAGGTGGAGGGGCAGCAGGATGCCCTGGAACAGCCAGCACTGCAGTGTCACTGCCTCCCTCAGCACAGAGTTCTGCTGAGGGGGTACATGGTGGCACCGTCCAGTCCCCACTGTGAGTTGCAGAAGGGTGTTTGGAATGGGGCAGCACTGTTAAACTGGGAGGGGTGTCGCTGGAGTCTGCATTTGCTGAGCTGGGAACTGGTTCTAGGGAGGGTTCAGAAATCAGAGACATAGTGGAACTAGTCTGCAAAAAGGAGACAGAAGGAATAAGGAGAGAAAGAGATAAAGACAGATGTAAGGAGAAGGGGGAAAAAAAAAAGCAAAGAATTAAGCATTTTAACAATCAACTTCCAAATCAAAAAGCCATGTTGATCCAAAGCCTTACTTCCAGGAGTAAGGAAAGAAAGTGAGATAGCAAAGAGCAGAACCAGTATGACATTGTACTGATCTTCACATGAGTTCTGCGCGCCTCCTCCTGAGTGACAGCTCACGTGTTCACCTGCAGCTGTGACAGGGCACGTCATGGCCACTGGGAAGCCAGACACAAACCCAGGAATGTCTGGGCTGCGAGGAAAGGTCACTTTTTCAACTTATTAACAGACAGACATGTAAATTTTATATTTCAAAGCTGAAAAAACCCTCAATCAATGAAGAGAACAAAGCATGACATTTTCTTCTTGATACACTAATAAAATGCTCCAGTTGGCTGAGTTCGTGGCAGTGAAAACAAAGCTTCAGGGCATTCACAGCAAGAGCAGATGACATGGGCTTTGTTCTATTCACATCACTAATCTCACCTTGGACATGGCACACACTGAATCTATATGAGTCTGTCAGTCACTCCATGCCCTTGTGAGCATTGCTTAGGTGGCAGATTAACATCATTCCCTCAGGCCAAAGTCTCCACATTGACATTGTAATAAAATCAGTATTAATTTTGATCCAAAATACACTCTAAGAAGAGCAACTAATGCAGTGGGTTTGGTTCTCTTTGACTTACAGGGTCTTTTGAAAACAAAAGATCATGGGTCCTTCTTTCCCCATTTCCAGTGGTTCCTGGCTAAACTCTAGGAGACAAACCGGTATTACTCCTTTTTTCTTAAAAAGGGAAAATCAGAACAGTGGCTTGGACAAGCTCACACAGCAGGTCAACCTAAGACCAACGCTGAGCCTTCTGTTTTAAAAATGTATCCACAAAGGATTTCCAAATCCAAGAGCTATCCAGACCTGTGCTGATTCCTAGTCGTATTTTCCAAAGAAGCCTCAAGTCAGAGGTAGCAGGGCACATAACTTCCTAAGCCTCATGTATGGTATCTCAGTCTCTACTTACCTTTCTGAGATGCTTATCATGAATAAAAGGATAAAATTAACCACAACATACATAAAACCTGTCAGTAGATGGAAGAGTCATAACCTTGAGCTGCCCTAAGCTGCTGCCATCCTGAGGGGCCAGGAGCTGGCACACACACACATATTAGCAAAGTCACAACAGCAGTGCCCAGAAAGGGAAGAGCAACAGGAGACCAAAATTCATTTCAGACTGCTCTTCTCCCTGAGTAGCACAGCAAGGCCCACCATTCAGTAAAAAAAAAGAGGTAATTTCCCAGTATTCTGCCTAAGCTGGATGCACCTGTAAAAGTAACCTGGTTTGATGCTGGTTCACAGCTTCCAGACTTCCTAATGAAGTCAGTAATTTTCAAGGCAAGACTAACATTTCACTCAGAAGTCAGTATTTCTAATGTATCAAAACCATATTAGTTCCAGAATAAAGAGCAATGGGTAAGCACCCAACAGTAACAGAATAGTTAACTACCAGCATCCAGCTATGCAGTAAGCAGGCATCACATTACACAGAAATGGCAGAGGGTGAAAAAACAAGTGCATTAAGTGATCTCAGTGCCTGCTGACTGATGAGCTAGATAACCAAAATCAAATGGACTCTGTAAGCAAAAAGAATGAGCAACTCATTAAAGTGAGCAAAAGATGATAAAAGGGTGATGTATCAGCCTGCAACTGCACCTCTTACTCTGGAGTACCAGGGAAATCAAGCACCAGCGCCCTCCACTCCTTCATGCCCACCTACAGCAACTTCTAGTTGTACCAACAACCAACTCCAACTAATTTCACACCATACTTAGGCTTTCTGTCCTATTTCCTGCAATCACACATAGGTCTGGCACTTGAACAGTAGCCTTTCATCCTTCACCTTTGGAAAAACTTCACTTCTCTCCCTTGTATTCAAACACTGGCACAGACCAGAATACATTTTTACAGACAAGTTAACACCACCAGCTGGCACAAATAGAGGAGGTATTACCAAAGAAAAAGGACTGAAGGGAAAATGAAGCAATGTGGAGGACAGGAAAAAAGGAAAATAACTCAAAAAGAGTCAATGACATCATTAACAAAAGGAAAATGATCACAGAAACCATGTTATTTGTGCTCCAGGAAGAATGTTCAGACACAGATATCTCAATGCCTCACAAAAATACGACTGCTGTGTTTGTAAAGCCGAAATCTTAAAATCTTTCTACATTTCAGTTTGGTCTCAGAGGTCAACCAGAAACCAAGCCAGGAAGGCAGGCAGTATTACAGAAAGCAGCTCGTCTCTGTCACACAGGTTTTACTGGAGATTCAAGACTGCAAAGTATTGGAACACCCACACTTAAAAATGTCCCCTCCTTGTATCTTGCCAGGAAAACACCTGTGCTGGGCAAGGTCATTCTCAGTTACCAAGAGCTCACCTGGGAGCAAAGGCTGGTGGCAGCAGCCACACCCTGAGCTTGTTTTCTGAGCCCTGATAAAAGCAGCAGGGGCACGAGGCCCCTGTGCTCAGCTCCCAGAGCACATGGAAGGGGCAGGGCAGGGAATGCCAGCAGCACAAGTGTGAATTCTCTCCAGCTTCACAACACTGCAGTGTTTCAACCAGGCTGAACAAATGCTTGTGGATACCCTGCACTACACCCTAGGACCTAATATGGAGAAAAAAGGCAACACTAAGGTGTCAATATTTGCAATTGACTGAATACACACTACACTAAGTCTAGAGAAAACAGTGAGTAACTCCCAGATTCTCACAAAATTAAGTGCATGTGCCAGAAACGGCAGACTGAGTTCAATTCCAGCAAGCACAAGGCAAGCCAAGCCCCTCAGGGAGTGTGTGTTCACTGCTGGGTTCTGAACTCACACACTTGGTCAGAGCTCTGGGTATTGTATTGACCACCATGGAACCCAAAGGGCACAGAAAGAACAGCAAAGCTGTCACTGAATGTCCCCTCTACCTCTCCTCACAAAACATCTCAGCCCTGGCTGCCCCACCTAAAGTCATCTAGGAGGGGATGGAGCTCAGCACAAACAAAAAACACCAACTACTGGCAGAATCTTCCATATGAGGATAAAACAGAAAGTTAGGGAATTCTTAGGATTAGAAAGCAGACTTGCCTGTGTATGTAAGGCAAATCTAACAAAATATCTAGTATATTTGCTTTTTCCACCACTCTCAGAACAAATTCAAGTTGATAGTTAGTAAGGCTACAAGCAAAACAGTTGAAAGTAGAAAGTGAGAAAATATTTTTCATTTTGCTATGATTATGGGTAAATGAAGTCTCATGAAAATAACCTCCACAGTTAATCATCTAGTACAGGAATGGTAACATACCTATATGAATGAAGAACAAGTTATCCAAGTGCCAAGTGCCTCATGTTTCAAGAGGACCATAGGCAAGTTAATCCTGGAATTATGCTATTATGGGACTTTTATGTGCTACTTGTGACTGAAATAGCACTTCTTTTCTAATACAATAGTTTAATTTCCAAACAAGATTCTGAATGATATTCGCCATCCTCTGTCCCCACAAGAGGCTCAAACTTTAATCCCATTTTGAGGTGAATAATAGGGTTTGTTCTAAGATAAAACCTTTGAAATCTCCAGCTCTCTGATGCAAAGGCTTCAGCACTCACATCACATGCCTGGAAGATCCTTCTCAGGGAAAGCACATCAGGGTGAACACACTCCAGAGAGGAGGGTCATCCCACAGAACAGAAGGGCCTGTTCTCTGTCAGCAAGCAGAGTGGTGTCCCATGCCCCCTCCTTCTCATTAAGTTTTAGCACAGCAAAATAATTCACCCTGTACCGAGCAGTAACAAAGCTCATTATCTCTGGCAAAGAGACAAACTGCAGAACTGAAGGAAAAACAGATCCCAGAACTGTCTTATCCTGCCAGTGATGAGAATTTACAGCAGTCAAGAACACCTACAGCAGCACTCAGAAAGCACAAATACGCCACAGGAAGTTTCTCAGGGCAAGAGTGAGAG